AGGTGGTTTCTCCTCCCCCCTTGAACACATTCTCAAATCTCACCCCAAATGGAAGCTCTCCAGGGTATGAATCATTTTGAGGTAGAAGGGGGAGACTGTTTCTTTGCAAGGGCTCTAGGTCATAGAGAAAGGTAGGAGGAAGATGAGAACCCCCAGAAGGCGACACCACGTCTCTATAATAAGCACACAACTGTGGAAGGAGCAGGCGGAAGTGGCAAAGAGGGCAGCTCGCGTTGGGTGGCCCTGGGACAAATGTTGTGGGTGACAGACGAGAGGACTGGAACCCTCCCGGTGTGACACCACATTCTGGCTGTTGTGAGCCCACTCTGCTGGGTGACAAAGGTACCAGATGCCCAGTTTCTTCCGGGAAAAGCTGCATCCACAACCCTTTCAGAGCTCAAAGGCTGATGTGAAAAAGTCTATTGTTCCCGACATTTCAGTGGACACCTGGAATGGAGATCGTGTGGCCTGTGAGGCTGGATAGTGGCAATCATCTTGGTGGTCTTTTTTTTTTTAAGATTATTTATTTATGCATATGGAACTGGGGTACAGGCCAGAGGTGCAGGGGCAGTGAGAGGATTCACCAGAGACAGAGCGGGGAGCAGAACAGGCCGAATGATGAAGCACACTGCTGAGAGGAGCAGTGGGCGGGTCAGGAGAGGTCCACTGCCCACTGTGGGTGACCTCTGGTGTGGACGGGCATTGAACTCATGCTAAAGTGGCATTAGCTTCTTAGTGCTGCGCTCTAACCCGTGGCGCCATTGGGGAGGGCCCTAGTCGATGGTCTTTTAACAAGACCGCAGCCAGGAACGATGCCCCAACACAAGTCAGGGCACAGGGTAAGCTCCCAAGTCTAACTGATGACAGTAGCTAGCCACATGCACCCTCTCGTGCCTGCCAGAACTGCTACCGACACATGTTCACAAGACACTGCCCTTCCAGTATCTTCCCCGGTGTAGGCACTCAGCTCAGAACCACAAACACAACCACTGTGATCGGCAGGTGTCCCGGCAGAATATCTCCCCAAAACCTAATTTGGAACAAGATTAACATTTGGAATTTTTGATGAAACTCAATAGACCGGAAAGAAAACTTTCTCAAAATGCTTCTAACTTCAAATACCCATGGTTGGTAAAGAGTTAGTTTTGCAGAAAGATGAACGTTATCACTTGTTTTGAATCTGCTAACGGGGTGCCTGTGACAAGGTCCGAATGTTCTTTTCCTCTCGTGGGATGATCAGACCATCAAAATTTCATTAGCCTCACAGCAGTTCGAGCGCCTTCTTAACTTGAACTGTTGGCCTCTTTATCAATAAATAAATGAAATCTAATCCCTTTCAGTGACTAAACTCTTCTTTGAAGTTATAACTAGAACATCAGGCACTCTGCTTGTATAATTTTATAAATGTTGAATAACATTTTTTTACTTTTTCTGGGGAAAACAGTCTTATTCACAGTTAGTTCCAGTGATGAAAACAGTCAAAATGAAAACTCCCATGTTAAGCTGGATGAAAAGTCAGTGTCTGGTTCCTAGATTAGCTTCATTTTAGTGAGTTATTTTATTCATGTCGTTCTTGTTTAAGTCAATAGTGACAGAACTGAACTTTTCAGGACACATCTCAAAGTAGTATGAGAATGAATAAAATTATATAGCCTAGGGAAAATAATTGCAGGTTGAAGGAAAATATAACTGGAAGATCAATAGACATTTAAGGTGCGAACAATTAAAAACAGCTAAGGAGGGGCCCTCCCTGGTGGCGCAACGGGTTAGGACACAGCACTGCAAGCGACATACAGCTGCTTCAGTGCGAGTTGGATCCCAGGCCCCGGAGGTAACCCACATGGTGTGGCAGACCTTTCCTGTCTCACCCGCAGCTCCCCTCAGCAGTGTATTTCAGTAGATATCCCTGTTCTGCTCCCCACTCTGTCTTTGGTGAAGCCTCTCACCGCCCCTGCACCTCTGGACTATACCCCAATTCTGTATGCATAAATAAATAAGTCTTAAAAAAAATAGCTAAGGAGGAGAAAATTATTTTAGCAAGTTTATGTTAAAATATTTGACCAGGGCCCTCCCTGGTGGCGCAGCGGGTTAAAGCACAGCACTGAGAAGCTAAAGCCACTTCCGCATGAGTTCGATCCCCGCCTGCCTGGAGGTGACCACATGGCGTGGCAGACCTCTCCTGACCGCCCGCTGCTCTCCTCAGCAGTGTGCTTCTTCCATCTGCATGTTCTGCTCCCCACTCTGTCTCTGGTGAAGCCTCTCGCCGCCCCTGCACCTCTGGCCTGTACCCCAGTATTGTATGCATAAATAAATAAATCTTTAAAAAAAATATTTGACCAGGAATAATAATAGTAAAAATACAGCATAGTTTTGAGGGTATTGTTTATAAACATGTTAAAAGACCACACATATGATTAAAATTTTAGGGGGGAAATATTTTCTTACTTTGGATTGTGGAATAAAAGAACCCTCCATACTCCGATTTCACTCCATGATTTAATAACAGCATTTGCTAAAGATTTTAATATATTTTAATATAATCAATTACTTGAATTGATCTCTGTTCCTTCTGATTAATCACTGAAAACTCAGGGCAAATAAACTGAAATGTTCCTATGGACGTAGATTTAAATCTGTACCATTGCCAGTATTCGCAAAGAGGTCCTATCTATCTTATTTCTCTTTTCTTTCTTCCTTAACCTGACTTCAGACTTCTTAGAGCATCAACATGTTGTTTCAAACAACAGCCAGCACCAAACCTTGGGAAAAGAGTAAACACAAATTGAAGTCCCTCCTTTGCCCAGCTCAACAAACAGTTCTGGTCACTTTATACTCTCAAGCTGGCTGACCACCCGCACACTCTCAACAAACTCAAGCAAATGTGTTGAATTTCAAGGCAAGGCCCTTGACACTTATTCCAAGACCATACTAAAGAAATGCAAGAGTGACTTTTCTTGTGTTTCTCTCACTCAGTGGGCAGGCCTATGAGATTGTTGGGGAAACAAGTTTGGTTAATAATCACCACGGCAATGGGGAAGGGCAGTGGTTTTAACCTCCAGGCCTTCCTGCCCCTCCCAAGGCTTGGACACTTGTCAACCAACAGACCAACTCTGATGTATTCACTATGGCTGTCAGTCTGCAGTTTTGTATTTTCTATAAAGAAAAAAAAAAAAGCCACGTGCTTGGGAATCAACCGTGGAATAGTTTTAGCAGGTATATCCCTTAAAAAATAATAAAACGGATCTACATTTTGCAAACAGAGACACGATAACAAAATACACTAATCACTAGAGAGAGAAAGAGGAGCTAACAGCTTGGAGGTGGAAAGAGCAGGCGAACTTAATGTGGAAAACGATTTCACAGAAATGGATTCGGACTATCTACGATGCAGATAATCAGACTTGAATGCTTTCTCCTTCTGCATACAGGAGAATGCATACAATTTATCACGTATTTTAGCAAAATCAAATGCCCAGTACTACGTCTGAATATCATCATCGTGCCTGCAACTGCTCGGAGTGGTATGTGGGAGCGTGGGTGGACAGGAAGCCAAATTCATGCTCACTCTTCTGTATTTGAAGTTAGTGACTTCGGAATCCATGATGCAAATGGCTAAGAACACTGGTCTCCCCGAGGTGAATGGATTAGCTCAAGAAAATGCTGGCAGCCTGACTCCAAGGCACATTTTGTCAGAAAGAACTGTCCTTGTTTCCTGATTTGGGCTGGAACACAGCCAGCCGCCACCAAAATCTGACACTTCCAAAATGGATATCGTGAGCGCATATTATTAATCGAGCTGTGCTTTATGGTCTAAGGTACTGACGTCTACTACACGAGGCGTTGTTCTAGGTGGTTTAAATTAGACTTTTTTCCCCAAAAGGAAGGAAAACGATTCATAAGCAGCGGAAAGCACCAGGCACCACTTCCTACTGTGATTTAGCTGAAACTGAAAGTGAACAATAGCCCTGCTTTTCTGCACAATGCAATGCTGACAGAATTGCTCCAGAAAAAATAAAAAAAATGAAATATTGGTAAAACAGCCATCTTTCTCTTCCAACGTCAGACAACCCATTTGAATTTTCTCTTTGCTTTTTGGATACATTAGCTACACGCAGCATTCACAACAAGACTGCAGGCATAGTGCATGGTTCCTATCAAACGCTCAAGGAGAACGCTGTGCACAGTGTCTGGCGCCTTCATGCCGATGCTTCGATTCTTCCTCGAAGCAGTACTGACTAAAAAATTAAATTTTCTTTTAATTCTATTATTGCATAAACATGAACAATTTTTATCATCCTGCATTGACAACAGGCAAAGAACCCCAATAATTTATAAAGACATTTTTTTCTTACAATATGTCCAGCTGCTATTTGGATATGCTAAAAGCCAATTTTTGTGCGTGGATTTAATTGCATAGTAATCCAGTCCCCAAAGCACATCAAAGACCACACTTTCTCCCCGTTACCCAGATTTCAATTACTCTCATCAACTAGTAAGTTTAAAGCATGATCAAATTTGTTCTTCAATCACTTGAGCCCTGTTAATAAACTATTCTGTGTGCTCACTCATCCATTCTAAGATTCTGCGACTTCTTTGAGATATCTTCAAGAGGAATCTACAAAGACATCTTTGATTGCAAGCTGGCTCTGGGGTAAACTTTATCACCACTTGCTTTGTGACTCCACAGAGGATAACAGGTGACATGATCCAAGATAAGTCAAAGCTAATCTTTCATTTTTTCCTGTACATGATTAAACTGTTTCTCAAAACTATAGCTAACACATCAGAGACCGCTTGCATAATTTAACCATCTGATGTTGAATATTGATTTTTTTTCCAGGAAAAAAAATGCATTCTTCAAGGACATTTCTTGAGTCCCAGTGCATTTAAACAAAAAGAAAGGAAGAAGAAAGAGAAGGAAGAAAAAACATGCCCCCCACCACCATCACTGAAACAGAAGCACTGAACGCCAACACAATAAAGCAAAAAATGAGACTTACCGCTCTCACTATCCGACTTGTTTTCATGCTCCGTGTCTGTCAGGGTGAGGGCCGAGTTGGACCGACTGGACAGGCAGGAGCTGCGGCCCGATTTGACCCCCCTGCCCCACAGTCTCATGGCATGCTCTGGGGACATCACTGCTTCATTTTCAGTGTCAGCATCTGACCCTGCACTGATGGAGTAACCTCTGTGGGGGAGACCCATTTCCGCACAAAATGCCAGTCCTCTTCGATTTGCTGGTTCACAAACGCCTAACTGCCTTAGGGTAAAATTCTGTCCTAATTAGGGGGAAAAAGAGATAACAACTAGTGAGTAGACGTGTAGTGTAGTTTTCATTTTTATTTTTAAAGAAAAAAAAATCCCCCTCAAACAAACAGTCAAGCTTTTTGATTTTCAGCTGTTCGCACTAGGTGTCTGTTAGCTTTGCATGGCATAGGGTCAAATGGGGCACATTACGGGGGTTGGGGGCCCACCATCAACCTCCCACATGCCAGCTCAGAGGGTTTCTGTTGAAACCCATAAGCACCTTCAGAGAGATGGGCCAGAAGGGGTAACACAGGGGCCGTGAAAGCGCAGCCGATGGAAGGGATCAGTCATCAGTGACAGCTTTGTGGAACAACCTTGTGAAGCACAGAGACTGTCAGACATGTTCCCATGTCCCTGCTCCCGCTCCCAGGGATAGGATTTTCCCATCCAGATGTCACAGTTCTGGAAGAGGAAAGGTTTCCCTCAAGAATAAGTTACTTTTTAAGTAGAAACAGGTGCTTGGTTAGACCTTATGTTATCTTTCAACCTTAACAAGTAACTTGAATGTGTGTGTGTGTGCACACAAATTCAATTTTGGGTTGTAACCTCTTGAAAATTGGCAGACATCTGTCTTTCTAGACTTTTTGCTTTAATAAACACCTGGAAACATCTGTATTGATCAATGTAAATCAATTTTTGCAAATAAAGCATGCTCTATAAATGAATGGGAACATTATGTATTTAAAAATTAATGATAAAATCAAATTCCCTGAAAAATAAACGGTGGTGAACCCTGCAGGCCTTTCCTAATAAATTGTGTATCATAAAACTCATGACATTGCAATCACTTAAAGCAAAAGTGTTTAAATTGGGTGACACTTTCCAATGACTGCTGTTATTAATGACTTTACCAATCCTGCATTTATTCTTGGAATTTCACATATATTTTATGATGCTATGGATAAGGAAAGAGAGAAAAATGTTTGCATGTGGGATGCACAGATATGGCTTTTCCATTTTTGTCTCTTGTTGGCATGGGAGTGTCTGAGATTGGGCTACCAACCAGAATCAAAATACATACACGAATTATCATATACAAAAACGGATGTCAATGTTACCATGTACTATCAACCTTTTTAGAATATTAAACATCTATATGACTCATAATTTTCATTTTCCTACTTCTCTTACATCTATGAACATTTCATAGTAAATTGCCTCGTATGGGACATAATATACATTACATATTTTTTTAAGAGTGTGATATATTTAAATAAAACAATAACATGTTGAGTCTTCTAGGTAATAAATCAAACTTAATGGACAATAAAGTAAATATTTGGTTGGAAAGATATTAGCACCTTCAGGTCTCAGCACATTTTAACTAGTGTGGTTAATTGCTTTATTGCTGTGGTCATATCAGAAGTTGGAATCAGCTTTATCTCGGTCAGACTTCCAAATGGAGTCTGACAATGACATTCATAAATAATGAAAATCAGATGCTACAATTAGCTGCAAACCAGACTGTGCTTATCAGAGAGATATGAATGAGTATCTGAACCAAAAAGTGTGACAGAAAAAGGAAGTGGCAAAAAATAGAAGGGAAAAAGCATAGTGAACAGTGAGAAAGTTAAGCAGGCTTGATGAGTATTGACGGCATTATCAGTATCCTTGAAATAATTAGTGTGCCTTGAACTTAGGAGAGAAATTCCAAAAAATAGGTCAATGTCATGAATACTTAATGGATAGCAGTGGAAGAAATGGCCCATTACTACTTACATATGGCGTTTAAAAGGGGAGTGGGGAAAGAGTCTGAAGCTGTCAAATGTTACCATCAAACATGCTGATTTTTCAAAATAAAAATACAAAATTATTTGTAAAGGATGAAAATAAACCTTATGATCCTTCCAATCTTTCCTCCTTTTAAAAAAAGGTTTATTTATTTATATATATTTATGCATAGAAGAACTGGGGTATAGGCCAGAAACGTGGGGGTGAGAGGATTCACTAGGGACAAAGGGGGGAGCAGAACAGGCAGACTGACTGAAACATACTGCTGAGGGGAGCAGTGGGGAGACAGGAGGGGTCTGCGTCCTGTGGGTCAGTCCCTGGCTGGAGGCAGCACTGAGTCTTAATGCCAACGCCATCAGGGAGGCCACATCTGTCTTTTTTGGGGGGGAAGTTCCCATGTAAGATAATAAAAATAAGAGTGAAGGTGAAAGACAGTAAGAGCTCCCACTCATGACAAGTAGTAACAAACCCTTTTCCAAGTTATTGACTTCTCACACCACTATCGTTTGGGTGCAAAATCTATGAGGTGCAGGAAAGCAGAAAACTGCAGTTTTGTTATTTGTTACCAGATATGCAAACATAGCTCACCGGGCAGGTCAAGACCGAAAGCATCATCCCTATGAACTGGCATCGGTCTCCCACACAGCTTAAACATCTGACCCCCTGAGATCAGTGCCTCGCAAAATCCAAAACCCTGAACGGCTATTCGGGAACAAAGCTCAAAACTGTCCCTGCTAAGATTTCCACACTGAATTTAAAAGTTGGCTTTTGTTTCCACAAGGAAAAAAAAAAAAAAACATAAATTTGACCTCAGAAGGAGCTAGATTAAAGCCACTTACGAGCTCTCTTCAAATCCCTCCACCACTTAATTTTTTCATCTTTCAAGGCTGTCAGGCCTTGGTTTTAAGAGCGGGCTTGTGCACATGTGACCAGCATAAAGAGAGACTCACAGAAAAACAGCTTAACATTAAACACCTGGATGAGTGTTAACTGATAACCAGAGAAATGTATAATTGGAAGGTGGAGAGGTTTGTTTTGAAATCACATTCGAATCACCACATCCCCACCCACTGGCCCCTCCACCTCAGACCTCCTCAGTGTTTGGAATTCTAGTGTTGTCTGTTAAGGACGCTTGCTTTCAGGAGCCTTGTTTTAATGCAAACACCCCTGGGGAGATCAAACTGTTCAACTCGAATAAATGAGTCTATTAGATTATTTCCCCCCAATCTAGCAGTGTTTAGGAGATGCGTTATGTTTATGAAAAACAGCTGCAACTTTGACAAACGGGGGGGGGGGGGGGGGGGGATGGAGAGAAAAAAGATTCCTGCTAGAAGAGGTCGGGGCCCGCTAGGCTGGGGTGGGACTTGGGGTGCCAAGCGTGAGAGGTCGGTGGGCTGGGCTCCCTAGCCACTGCTGGGGCCCTCCCACTGGCCACTCACGGGGTGAGTTGGTGGGAGGAAAACAGGTTCCCTCAGAGGTGCAACCTGAGCCGCAGCCTGTCCTCCTTCGGGCTGCGGCCCCAGAGGAACCCCGATTTCCTCGGCCACCACCTCGTCTCCCAAGTGTCATTCCAAGGGGCAAGGAGGCTCTGGGCTCTAGAACAGCCTTGAGTACGGTGAAAGAGGTAGCGACGCACGTCCTGGTGTGCAGTGTGTGGGAGACGGTTCTTTGTGTCCCCCACGGTTATCTTAATTTCTTTGTCCTTTATAGGCTTTCGATCAACGCTGTTCGGCCGACCCTGGTAAAATCAGTGTTGCTCTCCTGCATGTTGAGCTGTGGTAACCTCAATCAGCGGGGCCGACACAAGAGTTTCCCATTACAGTTTGAAACTGTACCAAGACAATAAATTGTTGCGAGAATAACGTCTACCTGAGGATGAAATCCGTTGTGATTAAAAAGCAAGGTGTGCTTAGATGAGGTGAGACATTATTGGTGTAGGAGGCTCATAAATTTGAAAATCTATAAAAGAAAACCTGAGTAAACACAACCTAGAGAAGCCGCAGTCTTCTAAGAGGCGAGTGAGGCGACGGAGCAACGGGAAGGACCCCAGGGAGCAAATGGGCGGGTCACACGGGGTCTCCCCGCGCCACACGGGGTCTCCCCGCACGGAGCAGGGGCTCCTTGAGGCTGCGACGCGGACTCAAGTCACCCGGGCAAAGCCTCTGCGGCTCTTGTGTGAGCTGACACACGAGCAGACCTCGTGAAGGACGACCTGAGGGGTACAGGGGTGCTGGGGGTCGTCGGCCAGCAGGGGCTGAGCTCCCATGGGATTCTCTTCCCTCCTAAGTTCCTAAGTCTGGATTGTGCTGATGTCTGATAGGTTACTTCTCTATCCTCCTCCTCCTCTCTCTGTCATCCTTCCTTGCTCTTTCTCATCCTTCCTCCCTCCCCGTTCCCTCTCTCATCCCCCTAGCCTCCCTCTCTCTTTCTCTCTTCTTCTTTTCTCCCTCCTCCCCATCCTTCCTCTCTCTCCCTATCCTTCCTCCCCCATCCTTTTTCTCTCTCTTCTCTCTCACCCTTCCTCTCTCCCCTCCCTCCCATCCCCCATCCCCTCTCCCTCCTCCCCATCCTTCCTCTCTCTCTCACCCTTCCTCTCTCCCTCCCTCCCATCCCCCATCCTCTCGTGCCCTCTCCCTCCCCCATCCCCTCTTCCTCCTCCCATCCTTCCTCTCTCACCCTTCCTCTCTCCCCTCCCTCCCATCCCCCATCCCCTCTCCCTCCTCTCCCATCCTTTCTCTCTCTCTTCCTCCTCTCCCCCTTCCAGCCATTCCCTCCCCCTCACCCCTCTCTCTCCTCTCCCAGGCTCTCCTCTCCCTTTCTCACACACATATACACAACACGCCGTGCATCCATTTGGAACATTACTAAGAGCCACAGGAAATCTGTCACAGACAGTCACCTCCCATTTCCTCTCTCTGGCCCTAAGCAACCACGAGTGGGCTTTCCACCTGCATGGATTTGCCTACTTTAGACAAATTTCCTTTGCCTTCAACGAAAAGAGGCCCGTGGGCCTCTGTGCTGGCTTCTCTCACTGAGCTTGATGTTTTCAACGTTCACCCACACTGTCGCGGGTCAGGACTGCTCTCCTCTCTATGGGTGAAAATACCGCCGCTGGCTGCACCACTTTTTATTTATGCATCATCAGCTGGTAGCCGTCTCGGGTTTCCACTCTGGAAAATGCAGCAGAGGACATCTGTGCACCTGGTTTTGGACACATCCTTCCGTTTACTGGAGTGCACGG